GAGAAGAGAGAGATAGAGAGAGAGAGAGAGAGAGAGCGAGAGACGAGAGAGAGAGAGAGAGCAGAGAGAGAGAGAGAGAGAGAGCGGGAGAGAGCGAGGGAGAGCGAGAGAGAGCGAGAGAGAGCGAGTGAGAGCGAGAGCGAGAGAGAGAGAGAGAGCGAGAGAGAGCGACAGAGAGCGAGAGAGAGCAAGAGAGAGCGAGAGAGCGAAAGAGAGAGAGAGAGAGAGAAGAGAGAGAGAGAGATAGAGAGAGAGAAGAGAGAGAGAGAGAGATAGAGAGAGAGAAGAGAAGAGAAGAGAAGAGAGAGAGCGAGAGAGAGAGAGAGGGAGAGTGAGAGAGAGAGGAGAGAGCAGAGAGAGAGAGAGAGAGAGAGAGAGAGAGAGAGAGAGAGGCAGAGATAGAGGCAGAGAGAGAGAGGCACAGAGAGAGAGGCAGAGAGAGAGAGAGGCAGAGAGAGAGAGGCAGAGAGAGAGGCAGAGAGAGAGAGAGGCAGGGAAAGAGAGGCAGAGACAGAGAGAGGGCAGAGAGAGAGAGAGACAGAGAGAGCAGAGAGAGAGAGAGAGGCAGCTCAGTCACACTTAAATCCAGATTCGTCCTCACCGAGTCCCACCACCAAGGGAGCGCCAGCAAGGAGATGCACATATGGGGATCCCCACGCAGTGAATAATTTTTAATTCGCAGCGCCGCGCCCCACCTCCTGCGCCTCCTCTCCTCCCCTCCTCCCTCCTCTTTTCTTCCTCACGCACACGCTTCGTGCCCCAAAGGGAGCTCCACCGAAGACCCCAGTGGCAGGGCCCGCATGCGTACTAGGGTACATGTCGGCACACCCCTCACACGCTTCGTGGTCCCATAAGGAGGTTCGCCGAAGGCCCCAGTGGCAGGGCCCGCATGCGTACTCGGGTCCATTTGGGCACACCCCACACACGCTTCGTTACCCCATAGGAAGCTCCACCGAAGGCCCCAGTGGCAGGGCCAGCATGCGTACTCGGATCCATGTCGGCACACCCCTCACACGTTTGGTGGCCCCATAGGGAGCTCCACCGAAGGCCCCAGCGGCAGGGCCCGCATGCGTACTCGGGTCCATGTCGGCACACCCCTCACACGCTTCGTGGCCGCATAAGGAGCTCCACCGAAGGCCCCAGTGGCAGGGCCCGCATGCGTACTCGGGTCCATGTCGGCACACCCCTCACACGCTTCGTGGCCCCATAGGGAGCTCCACCGAAGGCCCCAGTGGCAGGGCCCGTATGCGTACTCGGGTCCATGTCGGCACACCCCTCACGCTGTGCGTGGCCCCATAGGGAGCTCCACCGAAGGCCCCAGCGGCAGGGCCCGCATGCGTACTCGGGTCCATGTCGGCACACCCCTTACATGTTTCGACACCCCCCAACGAGTTATTGTGCATCGAGCGGTCTTGTTGATACTTTCCACGCGTGTAGGATTGGCTGGGTTCTTCGCCAGGGTAGTTGTCGTTTCGATTCGAAGCAGCCCCGAACGCGGGCTGGCAGCTCGTTCCACCGATCCTCCTCCTCTACATTTGCACACTGCGGATTTGAATATCCTCTCTCCCGCGAACATGGCTCGAGAGTGGCGAGCCTCCCTCCGCGCGTCTTGTCGCTTGTCACAAGGGTTTGTCCGAGCTGGTGAGATAGAGGAGAACGAACAAAAGAGGACCAAGAGGTATGTCTTACGATTTCTGAAGACCAGACTGTCGAGGTCTGCACAGGCCAGCAGACCTGGGTGTGGGCCGGCCGCGTCAGCTGCCAATATTCCAAGAGCGCGCCGGAGTATTCAATGGGATGGCACGTGTGATGCCTTCGCTGTGCCCAAGTCGTGCTTGGGTATGTTGTGATGGGCTGTACACCAGCACTGTGCTGATGATGGTGCCCGCGATGGTGTTGGAGGATTTGTTGCGTGATGACCTGAACCTGCAAAACCACATTTGCTGACAGTCGATTGCTGCGGTCGTTGTAGCTGCAGTGGGCTGTAATCGTGTGCTCGATGGCCGCGTGGTTTGGGAGCTGGAGTGCCATACGACAGCTGCTTGGTGCCGTTACGTGTTTGTGGTGCCATCGTAAGAGAATGCGTGTGTTGTCCGTCAATGCGTGTCAATGCTTTGCTACGAGTGCAGTGTAAACAGCTTGCCGGAACTTGCTGTTAGGCTTCACGTCGTAGGCCTTGTAGGCGCGTGTGTCCTCGTCGAGTGTGGGCGGCTTCCCACATCAAAGTCCTGCTTCGGGGTGGCGTCGGCGGCCTCTGTTCGGCAACCATGGCTGCCCATGTCCCATCTCCAGAGCCCTGCATGCCCCCCCATCCTCTCATATTGGAGAGGCCTGACGGCCGGTGCCGCCGACCCTGATCGAAAGGGCTAGGAGTGGGGGGAGGAAGCGGAGGAGGAGGAGGAGGAGGCCCCCCCATCCTCTCATATCTCTTTCTCCTCGGCCGCCTCAGCTTCCTTCCGCCGAGAACCAGCTCAACTTGGGCTTGCAGGATCTGCCGCGCAATTCGTCCGTCTCGTGTGGCGCTTGAGGCGCTTGAGATACCATCCAGATGCGAATTGCGTGGTGAACTGTTCGGAGTTGCCCCAGTCCTTAAGTGGGCCCTGGAAACGACAGGGCCGTTTTGTTACCGGTTCCGTTTTGCCGTTTTTGTTACCGGTTCCGACGCCGTTTTTTTTACCGGTTCCGTCGCAGTTGTTTTACCGGTTCCAGCTCCGGTTCCAATCCTGGAGCCGTTTTTTGGTCGTTTCCGGTCGCCGTTTTTTTGCCGTTTCCATTTTCAAGGGGCATTTGTTCGGAAACGGTGAAAAAACGGCCCTGCCGTTTCCGGGACCCACAAAGCCCCAGTCTATGTGCTCTTCTCTGTCACGCGAAACCCAGCTGATGATTCTTTCCATGGTGGTGCATACTGTGGCCCAGGGGTTCCCGTCTACCTCGGCGGCGGTCGTTGTTACCCCAGGGTCGTTTTATCCGAGACTGGTCAAACAGATGCCCAATCTAACTCAACGCGCGCAGTTCTCGGTTTGCATTCCCATGCTCAGGGCCATTTAGGTCCTCAGTGATTCCAACATGTATGGCCGGCCCCAAGGACCTCGACGACAGCGCAGTGTACCCCCTAGAGGGACCAAGACAATCTTTTAGGGCAATCGTATCCTGACACTTGGGAGGCATGGACCCCCGACATCGTGTCCTGGGCCTCTGGGCACGTCATGCGGGAAGGCCCGGGAGCTCCCATCTGGGATCCGGACCTTCAGAGAGCATGGGCAGCTTGCAGTTAGAGAACTCGACGGGGTATGAGGACATTCCATGCCACGCCTCGCAGCACGGTGGTGGATATGGTTGCGAGGGCCGCTGGTCCACTGCATGTTTGCTCCATCTACCGCCAAATAATGTGCCGTCTGTGATTGTTGCCATGCTCGGCGAGCGGGAGATGGCCCAGGCATGAGTTAGTGGTGAGGGCATCGAAGACGGGCTTAGCAGTTTCAGGCACGTCGTGCAGGCTTTTCCCAAGAGCATCACACGGGGGCACGGTCTCGCCGTCGAGGATCAGAGGAGTTCATATCTCTTCCCCAGCAGGCGGTGCCGGAAGGCGGCGGAAGGACGACGAGGGCGGCCCCGCCGGCGGAAGCCGGCGGAAGGGCGGCAGAGGCCGGAGGAATTAAACATCGGCATTTCAAGAGATGGTTATTTCGGGGGTGGACGGACCTCTTACTCTGACACGTCGATTAGCGAATTGGCCGTTTTGGGGTCGCGAGAGGGCGTCGCGGCCGTCATTTTTGCGGGTCCAGGTCCGTCGGTTTCGGTCCCAGGCCGTTTTCACGAAAGGGAGGTCACGAAAGGGAGGTTTGTCCACCGCCGACTATTTGGGAGGTCAGAGTGTCCACAACCCGGCATCCGCGCGCTGAAATGGCAATACACCGATCTGTCACATTGTTGTGGCGAGAAGAAGCTTAGCTCTGTGGCCAGGCTGTTGGGCACGGCCGCGGAGCAGCCACGGGCCGCCAGGCCGCTTTGGCAGGCTGGGAGCCACGAGGGTGAAAACGGCGACCAGCACCAGGCAGGCAGGCCTCAGCAGGCAGCACGCGCGGAGCGCGCCAGGGGCGGCGCCGGAGGCGCCGCCGGGGGGGCCCGGGGCCAATCCAAGAAATCCGCGCGGACCTCCGAGTTTTCATGTTTATGTCACCTTTTGTTCCCCTAAATCGAGGTGGAGGACAAGCTTGCAATGCCTGCGCGCGTGTGACTCGTTCCAGAAGGGGGCCTCGCCTTCGAGGATCGAAGGAGCTGTCATCTCTTCCGCGGCGGAGGGCCGCGGAAGGTCGGCGGACGGCGGCGGAAGTGCCACGAGGACGGCTCCGCCGCCGGAAGCCGGCGGAGGGTCGGCGGAAGCCGGCGGAAGCAAAAGTCAATTTCCCAAGAGATGAGATTGTTTCGGGTCCAGGATTGCCGAAATCCGCCATATGTGCGACGCTCTAGCGCAACGTTTACCAGGCCGTCCGTTCTGGAAGGCGAGCAGTTCTATCTGGTTGCACGGCGTGGGCTTCACAGGATGTCAAGATCGCATGGTGATGAGGATGAGGATGACGATGATGGCGCAATGACGATGATGCTGGCATCGACGATGCACCCTTGCACGTTCCCTGCGCGAGCAAGCATGGTGGAAGGTGGCCAGACATGCGGATACCTTTAGAATTCCGTCTAGACTGCTCAGTCACAGGCAGTATTCTTGATCAGTACTACTTCTCCCACGTTTCAGGGAACATCGAAGTCCCCGAAATGAGTGACCAATGGCACCATCGAGCCATTATCCGCATCGTCCTCCTCCGACCCCCGATCCTCATCCCTACCACCCACTCACAAGTATCACACAGTATGTTCCTTATCCACCGCTTGTTCCTACCCCTGATGGTCATATTCCTCATCATCCTTCTCATCCTCTCCTCACTTCCTCCTATCTCTGATCCTGGTCCCACGGTCATCCCATCATTCCTGCTGCCGCCCTCGAGGTGCAGAACACCTGGAGCCGCGCCACGCTGATCAGCATGTACGGGATCCTGATCAGCAACGCGGGGAAGAACGGCAACCTGATCGCGGCCCGTGGGTTGGGCCCGACGAGGAAGCAGGGACTCAAGCAGTAGCGAAGCGTCCAGGCTCGCCTATAGCCCTACCAAACAATGCTCTAAGAACCGTTTGTGGTTTCCACGAAATGTTCTTAGAACCTTTCTGGCGGATATCGTCTTGTTTTAACACATGGGGTTTATGTTCTAAGAACATTGTTTTTGTTCTTAGAATATTTTTGGGTTCTAAGAACATTTCGTGGTATGACTGAAGGAATGCCGGGACGGTCGGTCCCTGCTCAAGAAGCAGGGACAGGCCCACCGACAGCAGAGCGCACCGAGCGGGGCGATGGGACGGAGCAGAGGGCAGGAGGAGTGCAGAAGCGGTTGGGGAGAGGCAGACGGGCGAAGAGGGATGCGGTCGGCGCGGCACCTGACCGGCGTCGGGAGCGCCAGGACGGCTGCGCCCTGGGCCCGGGAGGGGGGGGAGCAGCGGGAGCCCGAGGAGCAGGATGGCCGGGGATGGGCAGGGAGGGGGGGAGTGGGGCGAGAAGGGCAGGGGGGAGACGGAAGAGACGGGGTGGTAGCAAGAACTCCCCAGGGATTGGCGGGCGGGGTGCGGCAGGGGCAAGGGGGGGCGGGGGGGGGGGGGGGAAAGGCGGAGGAGGAGGGAGGACGAGGGTGAGGGCGGAGGAGGAGCGGGGGTAGGCGCACATGCTTGCCCGAAGCGCGCTCTGTACGATCTTGCCCTGGGCACGGGAGCTCGGCTTCTTACGAGCCTGGCTCATCCGAAGTTTGGCCATGCCGAGGTGGCGGAAGAAGGAGGAGGAGGAGGAGGAGGAGCAGTGGCAGCAGGAGGAAGGAGGAGAGAAGGAGGAGGAGAAAAAGTAGCAGCAGCCGAAGAAGGAGGGAGGCGGATGAGGAGGAGGAGGCTGAGGAGGAGGAGGAGGAGGAGGAGGAGAGGGCGAGGTGGTGGTGGAAGTGCCTCGAAAGGGAGGCGCCCGGATAAGCAAAGTGTCAGTTCAGACGCTCGGGACGCCCAGGAGCTCAAAGTTCTGATTTGCCAGATCTGGCGTGTTCATCTGGGCGGTTGGGCGATCAGGTGCGCCAGTCTGACGGGCAGTTCGAGGCTCGGGCTCAGATTGCCATTCGAGTGCGCGAGCTGATCGCAAGGTGAGTTTGCCAGGTCGGGCATTCTGCTGCTCAGGTGTAGCAATTTGGGGGGCTCAGTTCTCGATGAGAACTCTCGGAAGTTCAGCCCATCCATTCGTCTCAGACCTCCATCTTGAGAGTCTCAGAGACTGTAGCCTCACGTTTACAACTAGATCTGGATTAGAGCCTCAAGATGAGAGTCCAAGATCGATTTGCAGTTCGGGCGTTCGGCTGCTCGGACTGGGCGCAGAGGTGGAGGATTTGGGCGTAGAGGTGGATGTTCTGCTCGCGGCCTCCAGGCGTTCCCCGCGGTTCTCCGCCGGGGCATTGCAGCGGGGAGTCCTCAGTCCACGCTGATGCCTTTGATTTTTCGATGTCGATCCGCATGATCTCCGCAGGTTTCTGAGAGCGCATCCCTAGAGTGTCATCTCAACGGGGCCTGTCAATCTGGGGGGTCTGGCAAGGTCGAGGCTGGTTAGGTCTGGCGCACCAGGGGCGCACCCCGCTACTCCCGGACGTTTCCTGTGAGATCGTCTGACTAGAAATTCGAAGCAAGCCCAGCCGTGGTGACGAGGGCTATCCATCAAGCAGTGGAAAAGCGTCATGGCTCGCCTATAGCCTTACCAAACCAGTTTCTAAGAACCTTTTTGTGGTGTCCAAGAAATGTGATTAAAACATGTCTGGTTGGGACTGTCTTGGTTTAACGCATGGGGCTTATGTTCTAAGAACATTGTTTTCGTTATTCGAACATTTGTGGGTTCTGAGAACATCTTGTGGTAGGACTTTAGGAATGCCGGGACGGTCGGTCCCTCCTCAAATCCAGAACGAGCAGCGGTATCGTTATCCTTTGCTCTTGTGGGCCTCATCCCGTTCTCTCCGTCCCCAAGCCCGCCCACGAGGGGCCGAGAGCTGGCTTCTGGAAGGGCAGCAGCCTGGGCTTCCTGCTCTTGCTCCCGCCAAAAAAAAAATCATTTCTCCGAGACGTCCTCTTCCTGAGCCTGGGCTTCCGAAGCTCCTCCATCGATAGTTGTTGCTCCTGCTCCTCCCCCTCCACACCCTTCTCTCCCGGAACACTCGTCCTCCTCTTCCCCCTCGTCGCCCTCCGCTATTCCCAGGATGTCTCCTGAGGAAGTACGGGTGCACCCCGCTACTCCCAGGACGTCTCCTGATGTGCATTCTGACCAGAACTCCGAGGCGAGCCCAGCCGTGGTGACGAGGGCTAACCCCATCCCCCCGAGAATAACCCCCCAGGGATAATAAAGTTCGGCGGTTACGGGGTGATAGTAAAAGTTGCCCACCAGAGGCCAGCATAAAGATGTTAACAGAGGAGCCAAAGCCAATATTTAGACACAGATCAACAGAGAAAGAGAAGAAACGAGCAGGAGAAGGAGAAGAGGAGGAGGAAGCAACAATCCACAGTTCAAAATCTACTAGATTTTATATGTAAGCGCTTAACGGAAATTAAGATGTTCATCTGCTCGTGTAGGGTAGCTTATCTGCCTCGTTTTCCCAGGATAGTCCACCACAGCGATAAAAAAATCAGAGGGGCACGGAAAGAAGGATGAAGGTTGAGAGAGAGAGAGGGAAAAAAGAAAGAGAGACAGAGGACAGATTGAGAGACAGAGAGAAATAGAGAAAGAGGTCGAGAAAGAAAGAGAAAAATATAGAGAGAGGGAGAGACGGAGAGAGAGAGAGAGAGAGAGGAGAGGAAGATGAGAAGGAGGAAGAACACATCCAAAGTTCAAAACTTATTAGATTTTATTTGTAAGCGCTTAATGGGAATTAGGATTTTCATCTGCTCGTGTAGGGTGGCTCATCTGCCTCGTTTTCCCCGGATAATCAACCACAGCGATCAACAAGTTCAGGGCGCCAGGGGGAGGAGGAGGCGGAGGAGGAGGAGGAGGAGGAGAGGAGAAGGAGGCATCCTCCCAAAATTGATTCGTTTGAGATTGCCTCCCAAAATTGTTGGTTTCGCTTGAGACATCCTGAAAAAGCGTGTTCGCTTCGCTTGATGTTGCTATCTCAACATAAGAAGGAAGTAACCTCGATGGCGAACTTTTCACGGTGATAATGAAGTTCGGCCTCCGCGCCCCGCGCCCCCGACCAAACTCTTCTTGGCCGTGGATAGTCAATTCTTATGTGTATAAGGGGGGAGTACTTTATTATCGTGGGTATGGGGTTATCCAGGACGAGCAGCGGCATCGATATCTTCCTCTCCTCTCCCTCCTCACCCCCCATCCTTCCCCCCTCCTCCTCCTCCTCCTCCTCCTCCTCCTCCTCCTCCCTCCTCCTCCTCCTCCTCCTCCTTCTCCTCTTCCTCCTCCTCCTCCTCCTCCTCGTCCGTCTTCCTCGCCCCTTCCGCCCGCCCCCCAGAGGCCGAGAGCTGGTTCCGACAGGGCAGCAGCCTCGGCTTCCAGCCCACGCTGAAGACCTTCGAGGCGCTCGCCGAAGCCGCGGCGCGCTCCGGCAGCCTGTCCTCCGCGGAGGAGCCGCGCGGCTTCGTGCGGCCTTTTGGGCCCGCCTTCCGGCGGCGAGGGGCCTTCGGACGGGGCTAGGACGAGGGTAAATTCGTTCCAGACCATCAAGAACAAAAGAACCCCTGACCTGAATACCACTATAAAGACATGGCCTCACTGATGTCCCCGTCTTTGCATTAGAGACAGTAGATATGGGCGGCTCTGTCTGATACATCTGCAGACATGGCCCCTATCCCTCATGCTTCCAGCCCTTCTAAAACAGGTCACCTCCCAAATGGTTAGGGGCATGTTTTGCTTATCACCAGAGCGTTCTAGAACGCTCTCAGAGCGTTCTGGAACGGTCTGAGAAGGCCGCAGCGCCCGAGACATCCTGCAGAACCGCTGGATCTCAGATATGCTCGAGATCTATCCTCACCTGATGTTATCCTCGTCTTGGCCTCGTCTTGCTCCTCATCCTCGGGGCCCCATTTATAAGCCAGGACATGGCTGACCATCGAAGAAGAAAAGAGTGTATGAACATGAACTTTCGGCGCTCCGCGTGGGCTTCGTGGATCCGCGCTGGGGACCCCCCTGGCGGCGCCTCCGGCGCCGCCCCTGGCGCGCTCTGCGCCCCAGGGGGGGGGTCTCAGCGCAGATCCAATACATCCGCGCGGACCGTCGAAAGTTTATGTTTATGCCGCTGTCTTCTCCTCCACTGAACCAGGACATGGCTGACCAGAACTTTGAGCATTCCACATGGCGGGAATGAAGAATGGATAATCTATTTCGACCCATGGTTGCAGTCTTCTCGGGCGCGCCAACGTCCGTGTTTATCAGCGTCCCCTTTTTACGGGGCCGTGGCCTCCTCCTCCCTCCCTCCCCCCCACCTCCTTTCGCGGCGCAAAAATCTCAAAGGGAGTTCGCTGCCCAGTTCGGGCCTCCAGGGGCCCTCGCCGGGCCCTGGGACCATCCAAAACACGGACCGGGATGAAACGCCAGTCCTTGGAATAGGGTCTACGTAGATTTTTATGGGCATGCGCTGTGAAAAAGTCACGACGTCGGAGATCTGGGCCATTCCTTGTCCTTTCCTCCTGAGCACAGTATCTGACCACCACCACCAAGATCGAGAATATTATACGATGTGATTTGGTGCAGTTTTGCTCTGGTGAGAAGCCCGCAGGCCCCCCCCCAGCGCCAACGGCAACCGGGCTGCCCCCTCCCCCTTAAAGACCGAAACAGAATTCATCAAAGCACGCGCGGTGGTGGTGTATATAATTTTGGTTACCAAGGGGAGCGATTTTTATACACAACCACCAAGAAGTGCTGTTTCTGTTCCAAAAACTCCCCATGCCACGGCGCCTGCGAGATGCGCCGCGTTCCTTTTCGCCGTGGCGTCGCAGCGTCGTCTGGCATGACCCTGCCCCTAACCATTTTTGCAGAAAAGTACTGTTGCGGGCGGTGTTGGTGTATACAAAATGGCCTCGCACCTCCCTCCCCCCCTCCCTCCCTGCCTCCGTCCTCCTCCGCCTCTTCTCTCCTCCTCCGTCCTATTCCTCCTCCTCCTCCTCCTCCTCCTCCTCCTCCTCTTCCTCCTCCTCCTCCTCCTCCGTAGCCATTTTGGCTCAAGCCATTTTGGCTCAAGGCCCTTTTAGGACCCGATCGGGCTCTAAGGGGGCTAAGAGCCCCGCAGCTTGGGTTCAAAGCCCCCGTGCTCTTCAGCCATTCCGGCCCTCTCCTCGCGTGGGCGCAGTCGCCCGTGGGAGAGCAAGCGCTTCCCTCGGTCGAGCCGCGCGCTGCCGAGTCCAGTTCTCGCGGCATGGCGCTGCCCGCCGTCTTCCGCGGCCCGAAGACTCCCTCTTGGGCCTGCTCGAGCTGCGACCGCAAGGCCAACTGGGCCTCCAGGACGGTCTGCAGCTGCGTGCGGGGCTGCTGCGCCGCCTGGGGGCCTTGCGGCGCGCCAAGGAGCAGCACGCCAAGGCTGGCGGCACGAAGCCCGGCGGCGGAGGTGGTGGCAAGGCCGGCGGCACCCCGGGCGCGTTGGCCAGCGAGATGGCGGCCTTCCGCAAGCAGCTCGAGGCGATCAAAGTCAGCCTGGCCTCTGCCGGCGGTGGCGGCGCGAAGGGCACCGCTGCGGCACAGCCCGCCGCCGAGGAGCCCGTCGACGAAGACTCCGAGCGGCTGGCCCAGATCTCGGAGCTCGAGAGTCAGATCGCCAAGACCAAGAGGCTCAAGCTGGGCGACGAGCTCGTGCAGGCGCAGGAGACCCGCCTGGCGGCCTTGCGCGCCGAGCGCATGGAGGCCAAGGCGGCGCAGGCCCAGGTGGCTGATCTCTCGAGCCGCCTCGGCCGCCTCCAGGCCAAGCAGGAGAAGCTCCGCTTGGCCACGGATGACAAGCAGAAGAGCATCGCGGAGGCGCAGACGGCGCTGGACCAGGCGAAGGCCGACCTGGAAGCGCACCAGACCGACATCGCGAACACCGCCAGCGCGGTCGTTGCGGCGCAGGCGGAGCTGCGGCAGGCGATGGCGAAGGCGGCCCCTGAGCAGGAGGCCGCTCGCGCGCCCGTGCAGGTGCCCCCCTCCGAGGTGCAGAAGGAGGTGTTCGCGGAGGTCTTGCGAGAGCACCCGCAGGGCGCGTCGCTCGGCGCCGGCGGCGGCGGGGAGAAGGTTCTCGGCGAGTTGCTGGGGCAAGTCCTGGCGAAGCTGGCCGTGGCGCCTGGCCCTCCTGGCCCTGCTGCTTCTGGTCCTGAGGCCCAGCCCCCTGATGAGGAGATGCCCGACGTGCTCGACGACGGCGCCGTCAAGCTCATCCAGGAGGCCTCCCGCAACCCTGAGGCCACGCGAGCCCTGGCCACGACCCTCCGCGACCTGCGGATGGTCAAGAAGGCGGTCGGGCAATGCGCGCGGTGGCCCCGCTCCCGGGGCCCGCGCCGCCAGCCGCGCTGGGTGTGAGCAGCCAGCGGTGGCCCGAGGGAGACGGCCCCTCACGTTCGCCACGGTCAACATCACGTCATGGGGGGCGGGGGCAGACTTGGTGGACCACCTGCGGGAGCTGGACTACTCGTTGGTTTTCCTGCAGGAGACGAAATTATCTTCCGAGCGCCTGCTGGAGGCGCAAGGGTCCTTGACGAGCCGCGGCTGGCGGCTCTGTGGGGCGCGTGCAGAGCTGAAGCACTTAGGGCCGAGTGGCGGGGTCGGCATCCTGGCGCGCAAGCACATCGATTCCTGGTGGGATGACGTGGAGGCGACGATCGTGCCAGGCAGGATCACGTGCGCCTTCTGCAGGCTCCCCGACCTCGGCGTGATGGCGGCTTACAGCTGCAACCTCGTCACGGGCGCTGGGCTCGCGGGCACTTTGGACTCGCTCCGCGCCCTGGCTGCCCACGTGCGCAGCCACCGCCTGCCATGGCTGGCGGCAGGCGACTGGAACATGGACCCGGCTGAGCTGGCGAAGTTCGACGGGTTCAATGCCGTGGGTGTGCAGGCCATTGCCTCCTCTGAGCCGACCTGCCACGCCTCCTGCGGCACGCGCACGGTGCGCGACTACTTCGTTGCTGGGGGCTGGCTGGGCTTGGCCTGTGCGGCTCCGCGGCCCAAGCCAGAGCTTCTGGTACCCACCCACGACCTCGTGGAGTTGCCGTTCCTCGCGGCAGGCGACTGGCCCACGGCCCGCGTGGCAAGGCGGCCGCCCCGCATGCCGACGGAGCGGCCTCACGGGCCTCGGCAGTGCCCGCCCGATTGGGCGCCCGTCGTGGTGGAGGGCGCCAGGCTGCTGCGCGACTGTGAGCTGGGGGCACAACCATTGGCTTACAGGCAGAGCGCGGTGGACCGGCTGCACGGGCAGTGGCTCGCGATCCTGCGGCGCGACTTCGGGGGCGTTGTCGACACGCTGGAGGGGGATTTGGTGTACTGGGGCGGCCCCCTCGTCTTCCGCGACGCGCCACTGGCCGAGGCTTTGGAGACCAAGGCCAACGCGCGGCCCCGCGCCAGTGGGGGCTTCCGCTGGCTGACGGACACGCTGGCCAGGCTGGGCGGCGTGCTCAGGCAGTTCGACGCGAGCGATGGCCTAAGCGGTCGGGGGCCCCCGCGCCGCCAGGCCGAGAAGCTCCAGGCGGGCCTCGTGGCAGGAGGCCGCTTCGCTCACAACGTGGACAGGTGCCCCGACTGGGATTGGTCCGCCGCGCTCGTGGAGCTCTGCGACCAGGTCATGGCCCACGCGGGCGGCCGCCTGCTGTGGCCCCGCCCTGCCGAGGCCTCACGAGGGCTCCGAGCCGGGGCCGCCGGGGGGCCGCCGCTGGGACCGCTGCTGGAGCCGCCGGGGGGGCCTCCGCGCCACCCCCAGGCGCCCGCGCGGGAATGGCCGAGTCCGGGCCCGACTCGGCCACGCGCCGCGCGGGCGGGGGCGACGGCGCAGGAGGGGTGCGCGACGCGCCCAGTGCGGCGGGCCTGGGGGCTGCGCTGGAGACTGGCGGCGAGGCCCCGCCCGCGCGGGAATTGGCCGAGTCCGGGCCCGACTCGACCACGCGCTGCGCGGGCGGGCGCTCGAGGGGTGCGCGCCGTCACCCTTGGCGCGCCCGGGGGCTCCGCCGGCGCCGCCGATGGCTCTGGGCTTGGCGCGGCCGTCGCTGCCGAGTCGGCGCCGTCGGCGCAGCCCGCGCGGACCACCATGGACGGGGAGCTCGACCCGTTCGCCGGCCTCGAGGGCGCTGCGGCGGCCCCGGAGGCCCTGGCGGCGGACCCAGGGTCAGGCGACGCGCGGCCGCCGCCGCCGCCGCCGCCTGCTGCCGGCGCGCAGGCGGTGCGCTCGCCACGGTCCTCCAGCGGCCACCTCGGCTTGGCGGTGGAACTCTTGGAGGCTGCGGCGGCTCGGACTTGCAAGGAGTATTTGATGGGCCAACGTCGGTGCGCGCCGCACTGGCGCGAGGCCCTCCGACAGGACCTCCAGCGGGGTGCACCGATGCTGCACCGCTGGTCCAAGGAGCCCGCAGACCCTGTTCCCGAGCTCGCCGACCCCTCGGCGCAGCTTCACGACC